ACCACCTCTGTGATACTTTTCCGGGAATCTCCCCGTTCGGGGGGAAAATGTCTTAAGACCTTTTTGTTGCAGCACAGATTCGTGGATTCCATTTCAACCACAGCCCTACTCCAAAACAAAAGTCGCGCACTTTGGCTTATGCAATGGGCTGGAGTCGCTTGGGAATGGTTGTTTTGGTGGTAAACCAGGAGGTTGGGGGGGGGGGGGGAACTTGGGACCTCTTTTTCTGGGCAATCCACTCAAGTACTCAGGGTGTCGCCTCTTATTTCTGAAGGGAAATGAGTCAATAGTAACTACCATTCGCCGAATGGGAGGGAGCCATAGGTTCCTTGTCTTTGCCCTTCTTTTCTCAAATGTCGTTACACTCTCTTCCGTTCTAGGAGGGGAATGAGGTTGGGGAATGATAGTTCAGCCGAAAGGATTAAGAATCCGCTATTCATTTGGCAGTCCCCCCCCCCCAAAAAAAAAAGAGAGAAGCTTTTGCCCATGTCCAACATCCCAAGCACGGTAACCAAACAGCAGTGGTTGGGACCCGGGTGCTGGGACCCGGGTGCTGGGACCTCATTTTCTTATCCACTCGTGTATGTAGGTCCCTAGGCTCGATTTGTGCACCCTGAGATGGGTGGCGCGCTGTTTTTTGGGAGGTGGTTCCCCGTTGTGTACGACTTGAAGGGAAACCAAGAGGAACACCATCATTTGGGGGGTCGTTTTTGTGTTTGTAATGGCTTTACAGGGAAACCAAGAGGAAGACCGACATTTTGGGGAGTTTTCTAAAAGACACGCCTAGATTGGATGGCTGATTCCACCACTTTTGCGATGGACAAACAACAATGGATTTGGCTCCACAATGGCTGTGCGGCAGGTCTTCCATCGGGATCTCAAGCCCAGCAACTTGTTGCTGACGACAAAGCTCCCAGATGCCGTCATCAAGGCGTGGTAGCGTGTGCAAAAGTGAGAAAACACATGCGGGGGTGCGCTGGTCAACGTGGAGCGCAAGGGGCTCTCCCAAAGGGTTTCCGAATCAGCCATGTTTTTTGTTTTGCGCGTTTCCACGTTAGTTTGCTATGGGCAGTAGCTTTGTTTTTCATGGATTGCAACTGACGGGGTGCTTTGGTTTTGGCGTGAAGTGGCGTCAAGACACCCGTTCCTTGTTCTGAATGTCAGCTTTAGCTTGCGCGACATTCCGACTCAATCCTTCCGATAGTCTGGGGACGATGGTAGTGTGGGCCCTTGGCCTTTTGTGGAACTTGTGGACCTCAACATCGTACAGACCGACATACTGGCTAAAGGGTATATAAGTTATAGGAAGAACAAATAAGGCAGGGTTCCTATATTTCCCCTTTTGGTGGGTTTTCAACTTTGGACATCACGCCAATTTCCTCATTTGAGTTTCCTTTTGGTGACGACATATATGCTTGGGGTTGAAGCGGCCTGAATAATAGCCCATGTAGTCTTGTCCAAGCCGCACGTGACTCAGGTGGTCGACTTTGGGATTGCCAACATCCTAGATCCGGATCATTCGCCGGTGCCCCAGGAGAAAAATAAAATAAAAGAGGAACAAACAACAGCGACGACCGCCACCTCTCCCAGATGTGCGGAAAGAAGCCTGCCAAGTGGATGTGTTCCAAGTGGATGTAGGTTTGCTTGGCGCTTCGCCATTTGGGCGTTTGGAGGTTAGAGGGCACCATTGAGTTGTGCAATTTCCATTGCACCCTGGGATTGGCCCACTGCACTCCTCTTTTCTGGCTTATTCTGCTTAACATCTCACGATTTGGTGTTCTTCCGTGAAATCCAAGTTTGGAGGCCTGCAGCGGTATAGTCAAGGGAATCCTTCCGTTTAGCCTCTCTTTGAAACAACCTGGAAAACGGCAACCCCAAAAATACACCCCCAATCGAGCCCCCAACATCCAGTGGCTTTTGGCTCTACCAACACGAGAGTTTGCATAGGGGCCTTATTAGCCTCATAAAAAAGGGGTAAAGCCTACATTGGCTACATAGAGTCGCGCATCGGGCGGGGACCTTTCTTGCAATGGGTAGAGCGATCCCAAAACCTTCCCCGAAGTGGGAAATAACCCGAAATATAGCCACCAATAAATGGATTCATTTGAGACACACACACACACACAGAACCACACAATTGTTGGGTGCCTTGTAAACTTTGTAATCTAGGGGATCGAATCAAGGTCGTCTTCGTCAGATTGTCCAACAGCTATTGGGGTTTGGCTAATTTCGGGCCAAGACTGTGACTAGGTCCCCCAGTAGTGCCCTTTTACCCTTAATGGGGGAGGGTTCCCCTACTAGAATAGACTGCAGAAAGAAAAAACAGTTGGACCCTTATGTCCTCCTCTCCACTGGAGGACCTAGGTGATGGACAAAATCCACTTCTCAGCAGTTGGGATGGAGGGCGAAGCTACCGAACTGGTACAGGATGTTGTCCATCCACAGGTGTCCCGAAAAATGTGTCCCTCGTTCCTCCAAAAGATCACATGGGCCTCCAGTAGAAATCCAGCAGCAATTTTGCCACTTTTCCACATGCAACATCCAGTGCTGGTTGCAATTTATGGCGTCCTTGAACCTCCCTGCCTAAGGAACAGGCGGGGGGAAGATGTGTTTAGACCACTGGCCGTCGCCTTGAAACGGGAAGCAAAGGATGGCGCGTATTTTTTGTTGCTTCTGGCGGCGAGTGTTTCGCCAACCGCAGACATTCCCGTAAGGCTGTTTTCTATGACGTGCCGAAAATTATGGGCACGTGGGGGGGTTGTCGGAATTAGGGGCCGTTTTTGGTATCTACTTGAGGCAGTACAAGCACGCCAGGATCAAAAAACAACACGTTTACTCACTTCCTGAGTTCATGAACTTTAAACTTTTTGGGAAGACCGTTTTAGTGGTAAATATAAAGTTTGGACTTTTTTTGGGCCATCCACTCAGCCAGTGAGTTTAGCAAATTCGCTTTGAAACAGAGGGTTGCCCATCAGGATAATTCAATCCAACCCCAGCGAGTACACCGTGCCCGAGGCCGGCTGATCGACACATGGGCAGTGAATGTTTACCTTGGTCAGGTACTCTGCATCCATAGGTGTCCTTTTAAGGCTGTCTTGGTGGAAAAAACTCATTAGATGGGGATTCATTCATGGTGTACCTGGTGGTTTAATCATATACTCATATACCACGGAAACCCATCTATTTCCCCTAAAAGGACACCTATGTTTGCATCCAGTGCCCGGAAGTTCCTTACGTTTTTTTACCTAGACTACGTCCCGTGGGGAAAAAAGCAAAAAAACACAATCTCTCTCCCTGAGTTCCCGGACTGGAAGCTTGGGTTTGGACCAATCATTTTCTTCCTTGGTTTTGAAGGGAGTCGATTTCACTACTGGACATATTTGTTGTTTGTTTCCAAGGGGCGAAAAAAAGCAGCTAGAAGTTTCGTGGTTATAAAAAACGGTTTGGTTGCTCTGGCGAACCCACTCAGCAAGTGAGGAATCCAGTGCCCCTTTCCCCGATTTCGTTGGCCGTCCCAAAGTCAGGATTTTCCCAATCTGGAGGTTTGGGACCGCTGACTTGCTCCTGGCGAGTTTTCACAGGTGAAAAACGAGCTGATCATGGCGAGTTTTCTGAGGTTTTGGATTTATGGAATTCACTTTGCGATGGTTTCCTTTAAGGGAATCCTTCTTCTCTGGACTGTTGAGAACCAGCAAGATGATTCTCTCCAAATCTCAGGAGAGCCCATCAACTGCAAATTGTTGGCCCAGCAGGAAGCCTGCAAAAGCCTTGCTTCAAGAGGGCAGCCGCCCACAGCAACTTTTTGATCCGGATAAGCAAGACGTACCGAAAGGCGAAACAAAAAAACAAATACAACACAGCACCCCGAAAATCGGGCTGGGCCGCTCTCTGTGATACGTAAGGGAAGCTTTGACTCGTACCTTGAGGTTGGTGTCCGAGAACGTGAAGTGCTCTTGTTTTTTCGTTTCAGGGGTCCTTTTCTGAGTTTGAAGGAGACACCAGGTTCAATTCTCACATGGCTGTGGGTCAAAACCACTGGGATCCCATTTTGGGGTAGGTGAATTCACCACCCATTTTAGAACCTATTTCAGTGGTTGCTTGGGATGTTCACTGGGGGTACGATTTGGCTTTGGCTTTTGACCCATAGCCACATGTCCTAGCTGCGCGGGATCGGGCGGCGGAGGACATGGGTGTCGCAAAGGATGCCCCTTGGAATTGGAGGTGGCCCTTGAAGATATGGCTGTGGGTCAAAAAATGTACCCAAAATGGAACCCTAGTAAATGGAAACATGGACTAAAACCTGCGGTCCGATTCCTGGTGGTTTAATTTTGACCCATACCCATATTTTCCGTCCGTTTTATAAGTTAGCTTGATTAGAAATATGTGGGTTCCACTTGTTTAGATGGGTTTTATTCCATTTACCAGGGCCATCTACTTTCCAAAAAGGATACTTATGCTTGAAGATATATTCCTAGCTACAGTTTACACACACACACACACCCCGGGGGTTTGAAAACCTGTTGGAAAGGCCAATTTCGATTTGAGTTTCCTTGCGGGGTTTATGCAAGCCGTTCATTCTCCTGTGTCGCTGGACTGCCAGCGGGAATTGGGGACCCTAGCGGGTCCTTTTGGAGCGGTGAAGAAAATGCACACCTGAGACTTTGGTTTTTCAACTGAGTGCCCGCCCCTTGCCGCATTTAAGATGGGGGATACTGGTGAAATGACTTGTTTTCTAGGCAGGGTTGGGTGCTAGGCAGGGTTGGGTGCAAAATTGGTCTGAAGAGCCAGATCCATCCTGGTACCCTTCAAAAGCGGAAACAAGAGGTTTGTAACAAGAGGGATGGGTTGACCTGTTTAAACAGTGGCTTAATTCTGACCCCCTGGAGCGAAAGTTGGTGTGTTGGGTCTCGCAAAAGGGGCACAGGCCCCACTGTATCCTCAAGAAGGAGCCGCCCCATTTGGTTTCCCGGGCTGGGTTTGTAAAAACGCCCAGCCCTGCAGAGGGTCCGTTTCCAGGCGAAGGGTGACCAGACCAAAGGCGGAGCTGCGGACATGTGGAGGCGGGGCAGCTGTGGCAAAAGGAAAGCAAAGCTTCCAAGTGCTGAAAGACCTTTCAGTGTCCATCATACGGGGGGTCCCCAACAAAACGAGACACCCAATGCATCTTAAGAAAGTTTGTTTCTTCCCTTGTTGGCTTTAAAGGGAATCTATCACTATTGAATTTGTTTTTTCCAGGGAATGTGTGGGAAATTCCGCGAGTCCTTTTCCGCAACTACTGTTTAACCAAGTCCTTTCAGCTTGCCCTAAGGCGACCTGGGAACATCTGTTCTTTCCTGGGCAGAGCATGCAGATTGAGTCTTGATTCCATTTCTTGGCCTGCCAAGCAGCCATGATGTGAAAAGATTGAGTAGTCGAGAATCACCTGAGTCACGTCCTCAGAACCCGGCTAGTTGCCCAGACTGACATGGAAGCTCCCGAACGGACCCCTTTGGAAGACTTGGCTCCATTTGTGGGATCGGCCTTCTGGGAGCTTCCGTTTGTTAGTCTGAGGGAGTGCACTAAGTGTGCCTTCTTCCCCCCGCTGTAAAAAATAAGACCTGTCGCTTTGTCGCTTTTGCCCAACGGCGGTTGGCAATATGAGCTTGAAGCACCTAGGAGTTTCACCGGTCACTTGACCAAGTTTGTGTCCTGTGTGTTTCCTTCTCCCCTTTCTGTCTGAAAAATCCACGCGAAAAGGCCAACGTCCTAGCCAATGCTCAAATGGACCAGTCTTTTTGAAGCCACCAATCAACTGAAAGCAAGGCTCTTTGACGAGAAGTTTGATCCCTGGGACTTTGTCGCTGAAAAACAAAACCGCGCCAAGCAGCCAAGCACGCAGAAACTGGCACCCTGAATTTCTGAAACTCCATTGGGGCGCGCCTATCTTACACAGGGAGCTCCCGCACAACAATTTGATGTGCCTTTTTTACGGGCCCCCAACATACTGTTTGTTCTTTTGGTTTCCCTTTAAACCAACCCCAAAGGGTACCCTCTGATTTTGTCTGAAGCCCTTGGATGGAACACCCTCGATGAAGCATTAGACGGTTTACTCATCCACTGGCTCCGATACCTGGGGCCTTTGCATCATAGCCCACAGCGCATGATTTCGTTGGATATGAGTGTGGGTCAAAATTAAACCACCAGGGCGCCTCAGGTTTTGGTCCATGTTGCCACTTACCAGGGTTCCATTTTGGGTACCTATTTTTGACCCACAGCCATGTGGATGGTTCACGTTGAATGTCTCATGAATCCATCGTACCAAGGAGAGACTGGGGTAAGACAAACTAATAGAACTCACAGTGGTTATGGGAAGGCCATCTTCTTCCCCAGGCATGCTTGATTTCCACAGGTAGCTTGAGGTACCAAAACTAGGACCACAAGGGATTTGTGGGCAGTGGAAGCTAGTTTTGACCGAACTTTGACTTACCGTTTGGATCTTTTTTGACGGTTTTGTGATTCTTCTTTGCCCTTTCAGCCAGCCAAACGTGAAAACTGCTCAGCCAAGCGTCTCAACCAGCGACAATGCAAGTGACGGCGTCGTTCTTTTTCTTTCTCGCGGGCCGATGGGTTTGGCCGGTCCTCTTTGGTACCACCGGAACAATATCAGCTTCTTCGGCGGGAAAGGGGTCCAGGCTGTGGGTGGACAAACTCCTGCAGGGATGGGGAAGGCTGAAACCTGTGAGAACTTGCAACCGCCACCAACTGCTGGCTTTAAAATCAAAAACCTTCCCCAGTTGTTGGATTTTTTGACCCACAGCCTGGTCTTCCATTTGCTTAAGACGATTTTATTTTGTTTTTATGTAAGAGAATCTGTCTTTTTCTTTCCAGGGGGCTTGAGCAAATGAAAGCGGTGCGCAGTGGATTTCGTAGGTCAGCATTTTGACCACTCCCCTGGGTGAATATTAAGAACCTCACACGACCGAATTCACCCCAAGTGGTGGTTTCTGTGGTTGGAATAGCCCCCAAACCACCGCAAGTTTCAGGTTGGTGAGGTACTAGGTCCCCCAGTAGTGCCCTTGTACCGGTTCTTTTGGTTGGGAGGGTTCCCCTACTAAAATAGACAAAACCGAAAACATTTGGTACCAACTTATTCTAACTTCTACTGGAGGACCGGGGAGGTTAGTAAGGGGCAATCCCCTTGCCATAAATGGGTGCGGATATCCGCCATTTGTTTTCATGGTTCTGGGTAGAACATGTTTAAACCCGGGTTTGGATTGTGACTCACCTTCCCCCAGAATTGATGATTCACCCCCCCCGGATCCCCCGCCTTCCCCAGAATTCACCCAGATCAGATTGAGCTGACAGGGGGCCCCCCAGAATAGCCCCCTCACCTTCCCCCACAATTGATGATGATTACAATTCACCCAAATCCCCCCCCGTCAGCTCCCCGCCTCCCCGCTCAGTGTGGGCGCCATCGCTCATGCGCTGCTGGTGGGCCACTGTGCCAGCGTTTCCTCCAGGCGAATGGGCGGGGAATGGGGCGAACCGGGTGGAATGAAGTGAATCAGTACATGTAAATGACATTATATACATATACAACATGCCACCCCACCCTCCCCCCGTCCCAAAACCTAATGTTTGAGACTCAAGATTCCCATAAAGTCTTTCTTCTGAATCTTGAATCTTTACAAGTGTGACTTTAACGCCGCTTTGAGGTAAATAGGATTCAATATGTTTCCAGACATCGTTTTTCAGCATCTTGAATCTTGAATCTTCTCCACTTGTAGTAAGCCACTTGCAGCTCCAGCTCAAACAAATACAACTTTTCAGTATAGGCTGTACGCAAAGCAAACTTTTGGTAGCTTCAACGTGCTTGGAACAGCTCTGTGATTTTCCCGGGGGTGATTTGCTCACCCCTTGCCGTCGTTTTTGTTTGCCTTATGTTTCCTTAGTTCCCCCAAACCGATTGGTTGGTTGTCGGGGCTCCTTAAAAGATCTCCATTTTGCAGCCAATTGACACATGTGGCTTTTTCAACACCAAAATAAAGGGAGACCACCATGTACAAGTTGCAATGTTCAGGTGTAGAATGTAAGGATCCCTGATCATTCTCTGACTTTTTTGCAGTTGCTCAGGGGCGTTGCAGCCCTCAGTTACAACTCGTCCCAAACCCAAACCTGAAAGAACCAACCCGAAGAGCACCCCAAGCCCACCCCAAGTCTATCCCCAAATCCCCAAACTCACCCTTTAAGCCCACCTTTCGGGGAGCAGGCCTGCTTCAGGAAGTTACTCGACACTTGTTTTCCTCATCTAGCGACCACCTGACTGGTTTATTTAACCCTTTGTTCCACTTTTTTATTTGGTGACTTCGGAACCACTCAAATTGAGTCGATTTAGATAAGAAATGATCCCTTTTTGCTGCTGGGATCACTGGATGCAACTGCGGTTCGGTCCCTCCCATTTGTGCTGTTCTTTTTGTGGCCACAAAGCAGGGCAGGACACCTACCCACTATCACTGTTTCCTTCTTGGGGGTCCATCTCTTCTACCAAATTAAGAAGCCATATCACAGCTCGCGTTGTTTTCGTTTGATCTGCCGCTAACATGGAACCTGACAAAGGAGTCCTTTGAATACCCCATCGATGGAGCTCCTGTTTTGAGCTGCTCGATTTTTTCCGATCGGAAAGCTTTTGATCTTCTGGGCGCTGATCGAAGGCTTCCTCTCCCTCAGCATCTCTCAGTTCCTCCCATCCCTGCTACTCCTGTAGTTCCTGGACCATTCGTCACTTTTTGGGGAACTTGGAGTTTCTGTTCTGACCCTTTAAAAATGGGGGTCGCTGCCCAAAATTAGGGGGTCATGACCCCATTTTCTGAGGGTCGGAAGGAGACTCCAGGCACGATTTTAGTGTACCAAAACTCGGTGGCTCCCAGCCATCCCCTTAGCTTTTCAGCCGTTTAGTGTTTCGTGGTTTCCATTTCACCCACCAAAAGCTAGTCTTAAACTTTTAGCAGATCCGAAAACGGGCAGCCCAGGAAAAGAAAACAAAAACCTCTTCGGAGCAGTTGCCGCTTCGGACGTGCGGGGCGCCGCCCGGCGGAGACCCGCCGCTCCTTTCGCCCGCGTGCGCGCCAGGAGAGGCTGGGGCTTCTCCAGGCAAGAGGATGAAGGCGCGATTCGGTCACCCGGTAGCGACACACAGAAGCCCGGTGTTGACCGTGGGCCCCGTGTTTGTTTTTTGTTTTTGGTTTTGCTTCCGTTTTTTTTTTGTTTGTTGCTTCTTTCTTCTTTAAAGCACGTTGGAATCTAATGGATGTGTCAAAAGTGAAGAAACACCATGTTTGGGTTTGATATGTGTTTCTCTGTTGCAGGTTGGCTCCAATTTCTAAGCGGGTGTCAAAGGCTAGTATCAGCAATAAGCCATGTTGGCGGGAGTTTCCTGCTGCCACAGGTTACGCAAGCTTGTGAAACAAGAGATGCCAGACGTGCTCCATTCGCCGGCTTTGAGCCGGCCAAGTCTGCCACCGTGGGGATTTTTTTTGTCGCGAGTCGCGAGTCGCGAGTCGCGAGTCGCGAGTCGCGAGGCTGGAGCGAGCGCAGCCCCATGGCAAGGGACTTCGTGCTGCGGCTTCTGAGGCCGGTGGCGAGTGGAGCGAGCGAGCGAGCCAGGTGCCGAGTCGGTGTGAGACAATTTCCCTCCAAGACTTGCTTGAACTTAGTTCCCCAGTTGGTCGAAGCGAAGCGGCCGGAGGTGACCTTTTGGTTTGCCCGCTTTTTTTTGTGGGTTCTCCTTTTTTTGGGGTTCCCATTTTTGGTCATGGCCCCCAAATGTGATCACCGTTTGTTGTCAGGTCCCTAAGGGGCAAGTTAAGTTTATGGTACTCTCCAACAGGTTAGCATGGGACCCAAGACACCATGAGGAATCGAGTGAGTGGGCGCGATGTTGACTTGGTGCCGGACCCGAAGTGGTTGACAGGGGAGAAACATATCCAGCCACTTCTTAGGTTGCCGAAATAAAGTTCATGGACGTTTGAAGGAGACTCTGAACATATGGGTGTGGCTCAAAGTTAAACGATCGGAGGGGCAAACCGCAGGTTTTGGTCCATGTTTCCACACCAGGGTAACATTTGGGTACCGGTTTCTTGAGCCACAGCCATATGAATTTCTGCGTACTCCCTCCTATGTGGGCCCCTTGGGTCGGGTGAGATGTTTTTTGGGCCACGAAGGAGGCTATAGGTGCACACTGAAATTGGGCCAAGTTCATCAGGGCGATCATGACTATATTCTGGGTGTTTCTCTTTTTAGAGGACCCCCCAAAAAGAAAGAACGAAAGGCATTGCTTTTTGGTTTCCCTTTCAATCCAACCAAAAAACGGGATTTCCCTAGAAGAAGACACACCCATTTGGTCCTTCGCCGTGGGTATCTACGGAACTCAAGCCCCAAAAGATGGATTTCTGGACCAAGTCGTGAGCATCCTCGTGAGCAAGGGCCCGTTTTGTTTGTTTTTTCGATCAGTTCTGCAGCTGGCCGGGTTTTTGGGCTTGGATCGCCTTTTTTCCCCCCCCCCCTTTTTTTTCCTTTTTTCATTGTTTTTTTCGATCAGTTCTGCAGCTGGCTCATTGTCTTTGGGCTTGGATCCGTTAGGAGGCTCCATTGGTTGAGCCTACGAGGTTCAATCCGGATCAGTTCTCACGTGGTGTCTTCCCACTTCAGTGCTCCATTTGTCTTGGACTGAAAGTCCTGCAGCCTGTTTTCGCTTTGGAAGCTTTGGGGTAAACCCGGCGACGATCATCGCAGCTTGCCTGTGCGAATTGTCCCCGCTCGGTTCTTGCGATGCTTCGGCTTCTGGAAGGACCGGTTTTATGGGCTTCGCCATATGGGTTGCAGACCACTTGACTGGGTAGAGATGTGTTGCTTAAGGTTCTTTGGTGTGTCCCCAGTTCCCTGTTTCATTTGTTTCTAATGCTTTGGCTTGGTCAGGTGGGTAGTTTAGGGAAGATACCCCAGATAGTGATACTCTCGTCGCGGATTGGGTTGAGACCATCCTGAATCCGCAAGCCCCTAACGAGCAAAACCCCTGATGCTACTCCTCTTTTGCGGGGCAGGCGATCTTTGTGACCAGCCCAAAAACAAGGGGGGGATATGGGGACCTCGTTTTTGTTTCATTTGGTTTGGGGGGGGGGGCAAAAGAGAAAAAAACGAAACGGGGGGCGAAACGAACAAAAGAAGAAGGGCGCAGACAGAACTTCCAAAAGTCGCCCCGCTCGCTTTTTTGGGGGAATCTCTCGTTTTGGCTTGCTTCTGCAAGGCTCCTTAAAAGATCTCCATTTTGCAACCATTTAAAACATGGCTTTTTCAACACCAAAATAAAGGGAAACCACCATTTACAAGGCAATGTTCAGGTGTATAATGTAAGGATCCCTGTTCTGTTGCAGCGGAATGCTCCGGAGGGGGAGGGGGGGGTCGAATAGACGGTTGATGCAACTGTTTCGATTCAATCATTGATCCTTGTGCCAGAATGGTGGTCTCACGACAGAAAACGGTGTTAGGATCAGGGACTGCGGGAAGGGGGGTGTGCAACAGTTGACTTCTCCAGGATTCGCTCCCCTTTTTGATTTGTTGCCTTTTTTGGGCCTTTGGTTTTCACTAACCGGGCAAGAAATAGGGGACCCAAAAAAAGCAAAGGGGACCTCAAAAAAGGGGCTCAAATAGGTTTTGGGCTCCCCACCTTGATTTGTTTTCCCCTTTGTTTTCGCTGGGGTCCGAACTCCAAAGTAGATCCGGTGCTTCGTCCTTTGCACGGGGGTTCAACCATTCCAATTGGCCCCTGACATAAGTTTTATCCATCCACCATCCAGGTTCATCCACAAGAGTCCGCCCCCTTTAGTGTATTTTGAAACATAAACATGGGCAACGCAAGAAACAAACAATACACCAACTATATAGGCTGGCTCATGAACATACATACACACAAGAAACCGGATATACATTCATATATATATATATATACTTTGGTGCATCTTGCCAAGGGATGTTAGGACTTGAACACTTTTTGCCAACTAATGGGTTTTCCACTAAACCACTAAAAGTTATTCACTTTTAGCAGGGGAGCAGAAAGCAACCGAGTATATTACATATACTTATGTGTATATGGATACCATACATATGTCTGCAAGAAACCCCTGCTTTGAGCCCTGAGTTGCGGCAAGCGCCGCCTGTGCCCTCCGAACGCCGCGACGCCACGACCCCGCGACCCCTCGCGTGTCGCGAGGCCAGCCTGTGAGCGGCCCACGGCCGCCAAAGCGCTCCACCACCCATGGATCAAGGCACTCGCTTTGGGCAGGTCGCGAGATTTCCCTTTTTGGTGGTACGTTAATATGTAAGCTCCCATGCCCGAATCAGTCGCCTTTTGAAAAGAAACCGGGTATTGGGCAGGGGTCCCTACATCTCCCTTTTTGGTGGTTTCAAACATCACACGAGGGGGGTAGTTTGGACAGAGGCGACCTTCACACCTATATGGGTGTGGCTCAAAAATAAACAGGAGGGGCAAACCGCAGATTTTGGTCAATGTTTCCACTTAGCAGGGTAACCCATTTTGGTACTGGTTTTTTGAGCCACAGCCATATTTCCCTTTTTGGTTGTTTCAATCAGCAGATGACATGGACAGGGGCTACCTTCACAGGGTAGTCTCGAAAGGACCGCGGTGGTTTCAGATTTCTAGTAGAAGCGGCCTCCTTTGCACCATGGTTTGTCTTGTCCACTGTTTGTGGGATAAGCAGCCCCACTGGTAGTGTAGAAGCCCTTTTCAAGGGAGGCGGTTCATTTCAGTGGAAAAGGCAAACCCTCCTTTGCACCGCTCAGCAGCGCGGGTTTGATTGGCTCCCAGTTGTTCCACTAAGGATCTGTTGCACCAAATCGTTTGCGAACTCACCGATCGGTGAAGCGAGCCAAGTAAGACTCGAGGTCCCTTAGAGGTTCCTTCAATTCACCCAGTTCACTGGCAACCTGAAGGAATCCGTTCTTGTTTGGATGGCACGAATTACATCCAAAGATGACCTTTTTCCAGCCCAGGGGATCAGAGAAAAGATTTGGGGCCTGTTTTGGGGCTTACCTCTCAAAAACACAACTTTTCAACTTTTTGGGTAACATGGGCTATATGTCTGTAAAAGATTAACTTCCCCAGGGCTTGGAGTTTTAAGGGGTAAGGGGGGATTCCATTGGGGCCAAGAGGAGATCTGAGTGGGTTCCAACTCAAACTCCGCTGGCTCGCTTTTGCCAACGTCAAGCCGCACAGTTGGACTGACTTGAAGTTTTAGAGGGTGTCACTGGCAAGAATTGTCCCATATGTCCCTTTAAACATCACAAGGGCGCAAAAGGGCATCAAACAGCTCAGCCCTGGCTCCTGCTTGAAACGGGTCTACGGATTCATTTCACCTCCGAGACTGTCTGGTCTTGCCACGACTTGCCGAACCAGGAAGTAATAAGTCACTTTTTCGCACTGTTAATCTAAGGCAAGCCCTGGCTGCCTGGGTTTTTGTAGTACACGCTGGAAGAATGATCTGAACTAGTAGAATAGTGCAAATGATCAGCGATCTATGATCTATCATTATTCAACTCTCCGTTGTCCCTTTTGCCTTTTAGCGAGCAAAAGGTCACCTGTTTTGCTCGGGAGTCTAAGTCTGGTTAAGATTTGTCCAGCTGAAGCATTTCCTGGTTCGCCGAAAACGGACTTGTTTTGCCGTGTGTACCTATTTAAACCTCCGTCCCGCGTTGCACCTTTAGGGACTGCCAGCTGTTAGGTTAGTCTGGTTAGAAATAGATGGCACTGGTTTAGATGGGTTTTACTCCATTTACTAGCGCCATCCATTTTTCCAGAAGGCCACCTATTTATATATAAATACTTCACTGTTCTTGGCATGTTTTAGTTTTTTAGTTTTTTGGTTCTGTTCGTTTTTACTGGGTCTGCAAAAAAACAAAGTTCCTTGCTACCATACCAAGAGTAGAGATGTATATATATATATATATATTTCCCTTTGCGGGGCAGGCATAAGTCATGACGCGGAGCTACTCCCTCGCGCCGAATCGCGAACAGAATCCGATTGCACTTCCCTTTCCTTGTTGAAATGGAGGATGCAGCATTCAAGGCATCAGGGCAAAGCTTCAGTTGCGAACCTCATGCGTCCAGTCAAGAATGACTGGAGACGAAGTAGAAGGAGCCCTAACAGGGAACGTCGTGCCAATAGATGCGCTTCCGACGATGGACATCTCTGCAGAAGTCCCATGTGCGATCTCTTTCGGGGCTCCAAGAAGCCATGTGTGCGGGTGCGTGGTTTGTGTTTGTGTGTTAGTTTTGGAGGGTACCCATTTCTGGTAAGTTTACAGGGAAGCCACAGATGTAAAACACAACTTGCGTGTTGTTTCTATCTTGACACATACCCATGCTTTTCATTTCCCCGGAGGAAACTCAAAGGCGATGGTTTTTTCGTGCAGATCCCCTATTCGGCACCCAGCTTCTTTGGAGGGTCCCCTTTTTGGAGTGGTAAAAGGACACCAGGCACCTTTGGATTTCCCCAATTTGAACACATCACTCATCACTCACCTGGACTCACACCTTGGAAAAAGACCGCGCTTTTTTTCTTCTTCTTTTTTTCCTTTTCTGGTGAACAAGACAGCTTCGGACTTTTCCGTGCCAACTCCACTGAAGTGAGACCATCGCTTGTAGCTCTCTGGTTTGCTGACGGCTTTTTCCTCGGGGCCCCTGCTGCTTCCCGGTGGCCTCCTTCGCTGAGTTTTTCGACGGGCGGACGGGGGCTGATGGCAGGGGATCACGCCCATCAACACCATCAGCGCAAACCAGAGCAACACCAAAGAAGCGAGGGCCGCGGCCTCAAGAGCCAGTCGGGGTTTATTCGATGGAGAACAAAAAAAGCAAGCTGCGTTTTGTTTGGGGTCAGAGAGTCCAGAATTCACAGAGTCTATAGGGATTTCATATGGATTTAAAGCCTGGATTTATCATTAAGGACCCCTGGACTATGCGCGCAAAAGGAGTTTTTGACCATGGAACTAATGTGAGGGAAGCATCAGACGGGCATTTGGAACCCAAAGGGGGCGAGGGCACAGGAATAGGAATGGACCCGCCCACGTTCCCTGAAAACAGGTAGGGGGGATGGTCTAAAGCACCTAGAAGACACCTAGAAGGGTTGGGGTATGAAAGGGTATGCGGGTTTGTGTCAAAGAGGCACCCCCAAAACATTGGGTATATGTATAAAGACATATATATATATAGTTGTTTTCCAATTAAAGACCCACACTCATATTGAAGGGTACTTTTCACTTGTCGCCATGGACAGACTCACGGCCCACATTTTGGCTTCCAAGTTGAAGACCCAAATGTACAGCGAGCACCATCAAGCCCCTGGAATTTTGGTGGGAGACTCCCAACCATGGGTGCAGTAAGCCCTGATCATTTTCTTTACTGTGGAGTTAGACCGTGTTAATACCAGGTTTTCATAAGACTGACATGAACCCTATGTTGAGGAGCTCCCGGCCAGATTTGGCGCGCGATACGAATGCTGAGTTGCTCAACCAGGGGCAGGGCGCAGGTAAATTTGCTTTTTGCTTGCGCAAGTCCACCGTCGGGCATTGTGGTTTGTTCCCTTCCAAGTTGGGAATCAATGCAACTTGCGCAGAGCCCCTTTTTTCGACCCCCAACTTGTCTTTTTGGGCACATAAACCAAATAATTACAGCAAAAATGGAGGTCCCAAAACAGGTTGCAAAGCAAGGTCCCAAAAATCATATCCCTTCAATGCTTTTAGTTCATGACTGCAGGAGCTCCGATACAAGATGCTCTGCTACTCGCTCAGCGTCATCCTCCTGCCGGCCATAGGCGACGTGAGGAACCATTTTGTGGGTCCCCCAGGTTGGTCCTTTCGAGCCTCCAAAAAGGGTGGTTGCAACTCAACGTGGCTGTGGGTCAAAACCAATGGTACCATTTTGGGGTAGGTGCACCACCCATTTTAGTCTATTTTGTGGAAATTGGGGTTTCTCTGGGGGTACGGGATTTTGACCCATGGCAACCTGGCAAAAGGGCAGAGCTCCCTTTGGCTGCAAAACGTTCCGCATGAAAGTTGTCCTCGAGGTGCTTGCAGGTCCCTCAGAGTGAAAAAGCGTCAAGCTTTCTGAGCCCTGAGAAACAATGAAAACCTGTCCCTTGCGGATATAGAAGCTCCTTGGAGTATGTCTGTATTTGTGCCCAGGCCTTTAAACTCTATTTTGAGACGGGCTTTGAGTAATTGCACAACCCCCAAAGTCGCAAAAGACGCAAGGATTGTAGAGCTCACCCAACAATGCATGAGGTTGAGCCCACTGGGATTCGGGGACCTTACTTTCATCATCGCATTTTCAAGCCTTCCTCCTCCCCGATTTGAAGGAGGACAGTCTTCCCTACCCTGAACCACTTGGATATTGCAGCCCAGAGTTGAGGTGATTTCAGCTCCGGTCTTTAGGGATAGGGAAGAGGGTCCAGATACCCCACCAATAATTAACACATCAAGACGTACCCTGGATGACCCTGTATTCCTCTATAACCGCTTATAACCCACTGATGTTGGTTGATTCGTCCATGTGGTCTGTAGGTCAGCCAGGGTTCCATTCCTGGTTTCCTCATCATGGGGTGTTCTTGTTGTTGGGGGGGGCCCTTAGAAGAAAAAGCGGTGGGTGTCCGTCTGATTTCTCTTTCACCCAACCCGAACCAGGGGTTACCTCCAAAAATATATCCTCATCATGGGTGTGTCTCCGAAAAACAGAGGTGGTTCTCCTTTTGGTTTCCCTTTAACCCAACCCGACACAGGGTTTCCCCCCAAAAAAACGACGGGGCATTCGATTCGAATCGCCAGTGCCTCACCGCGACTTCGACCAGCTCCGTGTGGCCTTTCAGCAGGAGCGTGCCGCGACGATCCGATGTCGGGGAAGCAGTGCTTAGGGCATGTTTTGGGGATTGGACTGTTTAGGGCGGTTAAACAGTTTGGATTTATTTCGGGTCTTTTTTAAAACTCAGGAAGGCAGTTGAGCAGTCAATGTTGACTGTGTGCTTCCTGCTCCGCACGTTCAATTCCTCACTAAACTGCCAGTAGCAAATTGAGGCTACTCACCGGTGTCGCCGAAATCCGATGTCATTGGGGCACACAGTAAATGTTGACCGTGCTTTGGTTAACTTCCTCCTTTTCAATGGCAGGCTCTCCTCAGACTCACTATGATGCAGATTCATTGCTTAGGGGATCCCGCACTTCCGGTTTCGACATATTGCCATATTTTTTTCCGGGGTCACTTTTTTTGCCAGGAATCCACCGGAAACCCAGGGAGACTGCAAATGTGTGACTTTCTCATGATGGTTGAACACGGGGAAAATCAGCTGCAGCGAACTCTTTGTGCTCCGGGCCAAGGCTTTTGTTGTTGTCTGCAAAGTCTGCATGGTTGAAACGCCCAAGGCTCGTGGGCCGAGCTCCCGAGAGTTTTGACCGCGGTTCAGCGGTTTGCATGGGGATGACCAGCTCCATGGCCGAAAAACGGGAAATGGCTGCGGGTCAAAACCGTTTTGGTCTTCCATTTTGGGGTAGGTGAATTCACCACCCATTTTAGAACCTATTTTGACTTTTGTGGTTGGATTGGTGGATGTTCACCGGGGGTACGATTGGGCTCTGGGGTTTGACCCATGGCCAAATTTGTCCGAATCGCTCGATGCGAAACGGGCCCGGGGGCCCCAAAGCCGCGTGAAGCGGAGGCCGAGAAATTTCTCGCTGGTGTGGGGTGCTTCCCAGTGGACCAATTTCGTCTTTGGGCGCATTTTGCCAAGGGGTGCTCATGGTACTAAGCACAAGCAGCTGCAAGACCAAATTGAAGATGCAGACAGAGCCCATATACGCGATACAGGACTTGAGGGTTTTCTGTGCCAACGAATTTGGGTTTTTCCGTACCAAACCACTAAAAGTTATTCACTTTTGGCAGGGCTTCGCAGATTTGGCCACCGAGCAAAGCGCCACCAGACATGGAGACATGGGATTCCACCTGGGGCTCTCCAGTCCGAAAAACGAAACGCCCCCGACGGAGACCACAGTGGTGTCCGAATCGGGGCAGCCCTTTGAGTTAACATCAAAAAGGGTAGCTCACTTCCTGAGTTCATGAACTTTAAACTTTTTGGGAAGACCATTTTAGTGGTAAGCAGAAAGTTTGAACTTTTTTTGGGCCATCCACTCAGCCAGTGAGGTAGTGAACAAATACAAAGGCATCGAAGGCGCGAAACATCAAAGTGGACTTGACCTTTTGGTCAGAGGGACGCCAAAACCCAGTTTGCCAGTGGTTTTTCTTTAAAGTCAACCAGGCCCAAAAACGGCTGCCCTTGTTTCGCAATGGCCTCTGGGCATCTGAGTCAGGACCCCATAGACACGGGGGGGATTCCGGTGATGTCGCCCGTGCGCAGAGCGACATCGACCGAGACGGCTACATTCCGAGAGCCATCGGATTGAGGCCGAAGGGCCAAAGGTCGAAGGGTCGAGCAGCGCCCAAAATAGGAAAAGATGAGCCTACAGCTACAATGCAGATATCTTGCGTTGACCCCTGGCCTACCAGCAAGGTGACTGTGGCGGAAGATTCGTTTTAGTGGTGCTTGTGAGTGACCGCGGGTTCTAGAAGTGGGTTCTACCTGGTTTCATGGGTTTTACTCAGGCTCAAGAACCAGCGCCAAGAGTCGATGGGGTGCAGTGTGCAGCCCATTCCGGGGGGTGACTCTGAGGTTAGGAGGAAGTCCTTTGAACCACCTTGACATTGCCAGGCTTTGCCTCATGTTTGCCCTCTTTCGATTTTTGTTGGTGTTCCCTTTCTCACTTCCTGAGTTCATGAACTTTAAAAACGTTTTCGGAAGACCATTTTAGTTGTAAATAAAAAGTTTGGACTTTTTTTTGGCCATCCACTCAGCAAGTGAGCTTTTATCCAGCAACACATTATTTTGTTTGCTTGAGCAACATGTGCCTGCAAGCACGTTCAACTTGCTCAAATTCAGGAAGCGAGTTGGAAGCCCAAACTGAAGCTTGAGTTTGCTTGAAGGGGATGAGTCCATTTCCCTGAGAATGATTCAATGGGAACCCCGGATGAATAAATTCGTGGTTGATTGATAGGCCCCCCCTCTACTACGAAGCTACCCAACAAAAGACCCCTTGCTGTTGGTAGAACCCGTTTAATGCTCCGGGGTCAACATCACTATCTTCCATTTGCTCAAGAATAGTCTTGATTGTCCCCTGTTGCTTGTACAGGGAATCTATCACTGGAATCTATGTCTAAACCTCTGGTTTGTTTTTTTTTTGGGGGGGGGAGTTAGGGAGTTATCACGCCAGGACAAGACCCCCCCTGCTGCTGGTAGACCGGTGTATTACTTCGGGGTCAACAATTATCTATCTTCCATTTGCTTAAGAACATGTTGGAGATTCCCCTCTTGCTGTTTTGCGTAAATTAAAAAAGGGGTGAAGCATAAAATCAACCAAAATCCAGCAAACTTAAGCAAATAAAAGCTATCGAACCATGTCCTCGGCTTAGCGCTGCCTTGAGGCTCCTCCTGAGCCGGTGCAGCCTGAATGAGGTGTGCGAATCGGCGTTGGGTTGGATAAACGGAGACTGCCCCGGATGTGTGGAGCAAGTTCCTTTGGTTGACCCCTTTTTGGGTTCATGTTCACTTGGGCAGGATTATTCAACGGGTCCCTTGACAAACACAGGGGTGTCTCCCATTTTAAGGGCCCTTTGCTTAGTTCCCCAAACAGCGAAGCATTGGGGTTCTAACTTGAGGTATAGAATGGGAAAGTGTGACGCCGGTTCCGGGGTCCTGTTTTCCGCTTGTCTTCCTGTCTCCCAGTCTCGTCTCTCCGGTCAGATGCTAGATTCTCCCGCTTGTCTCCCTGTGTCTCCCAGTCTCTGCGGTCAGATGCCAGATGCTGTGACGCCGCTCCGGGGTCGTGTCGCCCGCTTGCTCCCAGTCTCCGCGGTCAGTGGCTTGTCTCCCGCTTGCCTCCCTGTGTCTCCCAGATGCTGTGACGCCGGCTCCGGGGTCGTGTCTCCCGCTTGTCTCCCTGTGTCTCCCAGTCTCCGCGGTCAGATGCCAGATGCTGTGACGCCGGCTCCGGGCTTGTCTCCCGCTTGTCTCCCTGTGTCTCCCAGTCTCTGCGGTCAGATGCTAGATGCTGTGGCGCTGGCTCCAGGGTCGTGTCTCCCGCTTCGCTTGTCTTGTGACGTCTCCCGCTTGTCTCCCTGTGCTTCCCAGATGCTGTGACGCCGCTCCGGGGTCGTGTCTCCCGCTTGTCTCCCTGTGTGTCGTGTCTCCCGCTTGTCTCCCTGTTTCTCCCAGTCTCTGCAGTCAGATGCTAGATGCTGTGACGCCGGCTCCGGGGTCGTGTCTCCGGCTTGTCTCCCTGTGTCTCCCAGTCTGCGCGGTCAGATGCCAGATGCTGCGACGCCGGCTCCGGGCTTGTCTCCGCTTGTCTCCCTGTGTCTCCCAGTCTCTGCGGTCAGATGCTAGATGCTGTGACGCTGGCTCCAGGATCGTGTCTCCCGCTTGTCTCCCTGTGTCTCCCAGTGTTGTGACGGACGTCGGCTCCAAGCTTGTGTCTCCCAGTCTCCGCGGTCAGATGCCAGATGCTGTGACGCTGGCTCCAGGGTCGTGTATCCCGCTTGTCTCCCTGTGTCTCCCAAATGCTGTGACGCCGCTCCGGGGTCCTCCGGGTCGTGTCTCCCGCTTGTCTCCCTGTGTCTCCCAGTCTCTGCGGTCAGATGCTAGATGCTGTGACGCCGGCTCCGGGCTTGTCTCCTGCTTGTCTCCTTGTGTCTCCCAGTCTCGTGACGCTGGCTCCAGGGTCGTGTCTCCCGCTTGTCTCCCTGGTCTCCCACATCCTCTCTCCGGGGTCGTGTCTCTGGCTTGTTTTTTCATGTGTCTCCCAGTCTCCGCGGTCAGATGCCAGATGCTGTGATGCCGGCTCCGGGCTTGTCTCCCTGTGTCTCCCAGTCTCTGCGGTCAGATGCTAGATGCTGTTGATTGCTTAAGAATATGTGTCTATTTGTTGGTGGGCTCCCTAGTTTGACCGTTTGGCTAGGCATTCTTGGTGCTCCCGTTATGAACAAACCACTGAAAACACGGACGAACCCTCGGTGCTACCCTCACAAGCCTTATAGCTGCGGGTCAAAACCAATGGTACCATTTTGGGAGGTGCGCCACCCATTTTAATGGATGTTCACTGGGGGTACAGGATTTTGACCCATGGCCATGTGTTTGGTTTCTGCTGTTGGCTTCAAAGGGAATCGGACCTGTTATGCTTTCTTGCTGTTTGGGGTCGAGGCTGGTGTAATTTTTTTGCCCTTCCTCCCACTCATCAGTTTGGTTCCTCACTAAAATGGGGTCACCTTTGCTTGGCGTTCTCCTCCGCATTGCTCGGAAGTTGACAAGAGAAAGTGTCGGATGGCGGGAGGGAGGGCAGGGACCATTTGTATGACACGATCGATGGTGTTTTCTGTGTCCCCCGAGATGGGCCAGGGGGAATTTCCTACTTGAAGCGATGTTTGTGTACCCCAGAGGTGGAAAATTGATGGACCCTCCCCGTAGTGAAGGATTCCTTTTGGAAAAGGTCGCCAATTTTCTCAGAAAAGGGGGGGCAAAAAAGACACCCCTGGGGCCAAGTTTGTTTCATGCAGAGGTTTTTATGGGATCCCAACTGCAGGCAGTGGTGCCGGCGCTGAACATCGTCGACCTGGGCCGCACAGATACGCCCGGCAGCCCATCGATGAGAAAACCTTCGCCTTGGCCCAGGTCCTCAAAAGCAGCTTCGGGTCTCGGTGGGAATGTCCGCAAAACCTGCAGTTTACAGGGTCACGTTGATTTCTTATCAGCTAAGAGAGCTGGATGACATGAAACTTTTTCTCGCTTCAATGATTCTGATTCCTTGGGGTGGTGTCCCTTGCCACCATTCAGAGGCTAAGTTTGAGAATGTAGACCCAGAAACTGCGTCGATAAGTGTGGGTGGGAATTCATGCAGGGCTGAAACGAACTTTCGAAGAAGGACATGCACCCGGTGCAAGGGGTCGGGGTTTAATTCGAGCTCACCGTGATGAAGGTCCTAGGGGGCCTCAATCTCCTGAAATTGGCAGTATACCATAGTAATGTGCAGATCTTTGCCCTTGACTAAAGTGATGAACCAAGACCACCCCATATTTCTTTCGGCAATCTCCGAGCTGCTAGGTGTGCTTTCCGATTTCAGGTATATACCTTCTTTAAACCACCGGTTGAAGCATGGTTGAATATGAGCTTCGGTTCTTTGACACCAATAGCCATAGTCGATTTGGGGTGGCCGTGGGAGAGTTGTCCAATGTCGTCATTTGGGACCTTTGTCATTTTGACCGAGGCTCTCTCTATATGTCAAGATAGGGGGACTCATTTTCCTGTTGGTTTCCCTAGGGGTGAAAAGGCTACCGAGCCTCAACAAACAACAACCAATTTTTCCCTGGTTGGATTTGGGTGCTCCTCAACCTGACCAGTTCCTCGAGATTGGTGTCCTTTTGTTTTCCTCTGAAAGATCCAAAAACGGGCACCCCAATTTTGAGAAACATCCTATATGCTCTTTTTCAGAGGGTACCCCTTGGTGCTATAAAGGGCAAAAGGACCCCCCTAAAAAAGCCGAGGGGTTTCGAACCCCCCCCAAACAAAAAGAAATCAAAGAAGTTTTTGATTTGGAGACTTCCAGGTCAACACAAAATAAAGATCGAGGGCTTCAGAGGCTTGGGGTTCCCCCCGATTTCAAGAAACCATGTCCCTTTGCTCGACCGATCGCTCGGCTTTTTTTTCTTTTTTCTTTTTTTTCGGGGTTTGCGAGGTGCGACCTCGCGGGCATCGCCACCGCGGACTTGATCGCGAGGGAGTTTGGGGTCACAGCGCGCGGGAACGGTTTTCTTCAGCCGTCTTCTTCATGCTTCGGGTCGGCAGGGATCGTCATCCACCAGGGATCGTCAGGATGGTACAAAACAATTGAACATGAGTCTTATTAAGGGAACCGTGACCATAGGCCACAAAAACACTTTTGATTGTGACTCGCATGCATCTGGAACGTTGTTGGCTTTACAGCCATCAGCCACTTGTGATACTTCAATTCGGACTCTCCGTGCTTATCAAGTCATATCGGGGCTTTTTCAGTTCGCTTTGGCATCTCAGAAAGGTGATTCCCCACAACCCTAGGGCTGGTTTTGAGAGCTAGGAAGTCGGGGACGTTTATGAGGCCCTTCATAGGGTTTCTCAAAGTGGCCTCCCCAAAATGGATTGGTTTCTTTTTCAGGCAACGTGGTTCAGGCAACCCGAACCTGATGTGTGTGTTTTGTTGACAAGATGTATGCAGAACCGGATGGTTTGGTTGTGTGAGTTGGACGTCTAGATCAAGTATCCCTCAGTTGGTGGATTGGATTGGTGGTTCCTGGTTCTTGTAGGGTAAATGGGAAACCTCTCCTTAACCATCAAACCATCAATCCAAACCACCAATTGGAGGTAAGCTGAGCGGTGGGACTAAAACAGAGGCGCCCTGAAAGGAAGCCAGCTGGATGACATCACTTTGGGGTCCTTCTGCCTATGCTTTCGAGCTCACTTGGGGTGTTTAGCGCAATTTCATGAGCGGCATGATGGCGCCTTGGGGAGCCAAACAAGTTGGGATGTGCTGACGGAGTTCAACCCGACCTTCTCAAGCTTCTGGGCTCCAAAAAACAAAGAAACAACGCACTTCAGTTCACAAGGGTCTGGTCTTTCTATTTCCTGTTGTGGAAGAAAAAATCGGCCGGGCGACATTCTGGCGGGAATCTTTCTTGAAGATTAAAAAAAATACAAAATGTTGATTCTGCAGTTTTGGGCATGACTCTATTGGTATAAACTTGGAAAATCGCCATGCGATGTTCCAGACCCGATGGCTCCGATTGCTACATGTTCAGAACGGCTCCCGTTCTTTTCCCGGACCTACAGACCTCCATGCAAGGGCGCTCTTTCGGTTGACACATGCACAGGGAAACATTGGGAAACTGGTCTTCCATTTGGTTATAAGTGTTTTTCCATGTTGGTTCTAAAGGGAATCGATTTTACTACTGTTTTTTTTCCCATGCAGGGGACTTAAGCAAATGGAGGACAAGGAACAAAAAGGGCACTGGTTTTCGTGGGGCCGCAAGTTCGGATGCTATTTGTCCCGTGCAAGCTGCAAAAGCAAGAGGCTCAGGTTCCGTTTGGGTTTGCTTTATTGATGGTATCCATTCTGGGATGGTTTTAAAGGGGAACACAAGGATCACTACCAATTTTGAGGGTTCCGTATTTTGAGACAACCCCCGTTTCTCAGAAACTTGCCGTTTTCTTGTCAGTGTTTATGAGGTCCTATCGAGTTTTGGGCTTTCTCGCTTTGGCATCGAAAGGTGATTCCCCACAACCCAAAGGACTGTAGGGGGGGTTGAGAGCCAGGAAGTAGGGTATGAAACCCTTCATTGGCTTTCCCACAGTGGCCTCCCTAAAATGGATTGTTTTTTTTGGGTTTTCCCAACCAAAGGTGGTGCAGTTTGAGAAACACGACCAGCCCTGCTTTTTCCCAGGAGCTTCTTCGAGGGGTTAGAGGGAAGTTTCCCAGTTAAGCCCTCAAGGGGTTGAAACCTCCAAACCCCTCAAACTGGGTGGTTTCCTTTTGGTTCCCTTCAAACTAACCTTCATTGAAAGTACCCTCAGCCATTGGTAGGGCCTCCTGCGAAACTGTTCCATATTTTTGGTTGGACTAAACACGAAACAAGTTCTGAACATATGTTCTGTTTGCCCCAGATGTGGTGCCAAGCTGCGGGTTGTTTTTGTTTCCACCACAAGCTGGTGACACCGAGGTTCTTTGCTGCAGGCCCCACATCAGCACCGCTCGTGCGAGCCTTAGGATTTGGGTGGGGTGTGGGGTGTGGGGTGTGGGGTGTGGGGTGTGGGGTGTGGGGTGTGGGGTGTGG